AAATATTCAAAGTGACAGCCTTTTTCCGCTGTTGTTGGTTTTAAGCATGGACCCGTTGAACCATAGGCTCAATATCAAATACTCGAAGGTAGAGATTCTCACGATCAAGGAATGCATGTAACGAACCATTTACTATTTGTGGATGATCTCAAGCTCCTTGCTGCCGACGAGGATATCATGAAAGCTATGGCCGAAGAAGTCCAGAAGTTCTTTGAAATAGTAGGGTTAGAGGTGAATCCAACAACGCTATTAATATTGAAGTATGCATTGATAAGGTAGAACTCTTGGAAGGAACTCAAGGGTATAAATACCTTGGCATAATGGAGAACAGGACCAGCGCTCCGACTCGAGAAAACTACGATAAAGTGCGAGCAGAGATTTTGGAGAGAATTGAACGACTAGCCAAATGAGCGCTACATGGAATTAATAAGCTATTATACTGGGGTGCTTAAACTGGAACCGGAAGACTTCCAAGCAACTATGATATTCGGCAGTTACTAAATAGATACGGAATTCACAGTCAACCTGCATGCCTGTAGAGAGTAACCTGCCAAGGGACAAACTAGGACGTGGGCTTTAGTGCGTTGAAAAAAGGAGTGAGCTTGTTCTTCTGCAATTTCGTAACGCATCTATAGAAACCGCGCCCGTATCTACCAGGAAGGCGGTGATTTCGAAGCAGGGAAAGACAACATGTACTTAGCAGTTATTGTGCTCTACCTTCAGATTAAATACAACTTCTTAGAAAATCCAACTGTCGAAAACGTATTAGTAGCCCAGAAAGCGCTCCTGTATAGCAAAATAGAAAAGAAAATTGGTCATGCAAAACTCTACAAGATGCGTAGTAATGAGCTAGCCTTAATGTCAGATTTACTACCGTGGTTACGATTCGGAAATATTACCCCACAGGATGAAGTGCGATACTGTCACCTCCAAAATAGAAATATGATTGGAGCAGAGAAAAGTATGTGCCCACATTGTAGGGAACGTGTGAAAACAGTGGATCATCTAGCAACGCAGTGCTAGAAAATGTTATATCATGACTATACTAGAAGACACAATGAACTCCTGCTATGTATCCAGTTAGCAATCTGCAAAAAGTATAGTTTGAAAGAATTCCCATGCATGCGGAGCTATTCTCTTCAGGAGATGATCGCTAATGAGAACATGGAAATTAGAGTCGATATGCGAGTAAAGAACGACAATTAGAATAAGAGCAGATCGACCAGATATCCTGGTATACGATAAGAAGTGGTACGAAGTACTCCTGATGGAGTTTAGCATTACTATCAAGACAGGTTGATAGCAGTAGGAACCGAGAAGCAGGAACGCATGATTTACTGGGTATCAAACTCGGGGCAGAGATGAAATGCAGAACGAAAATAATTCCGTATGTGATGGACTTGGGATGGGATAGTGACAAAGTCCCAAAATAATAATAATAATAATAATAA